AGGTCTCCCCTCAGCCTCCTTTTCTCCAGGCTAAACAGTCCCAGTTCCCTCAGCCGCTCCTCATCAGACTTGTTCTCCAGACCCCTCACCAGCTTCGCTGCCCTTCTCTGGACACGCTCCAGCACCTCAATGTCCTTCTTGTAGTGAGGGGCCCAAAACTGAACACAGTATTCGAGGTGCGGCCTCACCAGTGCCGAGTATTTCTCTTCATCCTATTCTGTTTCTGTCAGAGGAATTCCTAGTTCTTTCAGTTTTTCAAGTACTTCACTTGCTATCTGCTTCGTAAGTTTAATGATTGTTGATAGAGGTTTTCAACCCCCAAGCCTCACTTTTGACTAGAGCAGCACTGAGCAAAGCAGTAAATGTGCCTAAATGTACTTAGCATTTTTTCTCTCACTGGTGTGTTTCAAACACTGGAGAGTATACTTTCCTTCTGTATCTTCAGTTCATCGATTGAAACTGATATTCCAGGAGATTTTGAGTGGTAGGGTATGGCTTGCATTTTCTGACCTGCAGGTTGCCTAGTTCTTCATTACAATCAGGTTGTTTTATCAAAGGTATTTGAGTCAAGGCTCCCTTTCAGTACTGAATGCTACTAAATAGTGATGCTCTGTCAATAGTAGTTTTCACAAATATCATCCTCTTTCTTGATCACCACTTACTCGAGAAAGAAGGAATAGCTTTTGCCCTTACCTCAATGATGGCCTCATCAGAGGCCTGTCTCTGGGCAGGTTTTGTTATGCAGTACTCCTTTCGAACATATTGCTGCACGTGAAGAAGTGAGTATGCAAAAATTCTGAACTTTGAAAGTTCTTAAAGATTGCAGTAGACTCTCTTGTTAGGGTAACTTAAGTGTGCTTTGACCTTTTACCGGTTAATAAGATCATGCAGGACATCTCCTTTCCAATTTATATAGATGTTGATACAAATCAGGGTTTGATGGCTAGATGTGGTAACTGTCTCATATAGTCAATTGTGTGGTACAGAGATATAATTGCTGTGACAGGTGGAACACATTTAATCTTAGTTCAGGTGACATTAATAGTCTGTCTGTAGGATGTCTCTGTTCTTAATATCTGTAGAGCTGCTGCTAGAGCACCTTCATGTCTTCTTGATAGCCTGTACGCTTTGGATAATAGTACTTCGATCTTGAATCACCTGAGGACTACTGGGCACCTTGGTCCCAGAGTATTTTGTTAGCAGGAAAGTGGTGATGGTATGCAACATTGCTTGATGTGTAAATTTATATATAGACAAGAAAAACATGTTTCTTATCTGTAACTATTGTTCTTTGACCTGTGTTCTCTGTGTGTTCAAGACTCACTTTTCTGCGTTTGTTCATTGGAGTGCCTGAAGGAGTCTTCAAGTTTTTCCCAGTGTCTGAAATCCTAAGAGGGGAGAGGGCTGGCTTTTTAGGGCTGCCTGCAAAGCATACAGATGTCACAATCTTGTAAATACACCCCTTTGGATATTATTGAGGAAAAAAAATTATCTTGCTTTCACTATTTAAATGGATATATTTGCAATGAATATGAAAAAAAGCCACATATAGGTAACAGAAGATAACAGTTACAAATAAGCAGATCTTTTAATGATTAAACTGATCCTCAAGACTAAAGATATTTGCAAGATTTCCATTTATATGGAAACGGAGTTCTTTTTATGTAAATGAATTTTGGAAGAGATATGAAGATGCATGCTTCAGCAGGTAAGATAAATCTATATCCAGTAATGACCAAGGATAGTCTGAATGTATGTTGCCCTAACTCATATCAGTCTAAAATTAATTTACTTTCCTCTGAAAACATCTGATATTTGCATCTGTCAAAAAGAAATAACTGATCTAGATGGCCCACAGGTCTAGCATCCATTATTTTAATTCCCGAGTTTTACATTATTAAATCATACCATGAAATGTGTTCAGGGAAGCTTACGATCAAGTATGTACTTAAAAATCAGTTTAATTGAAGACTGTAAGCATTAACTCCTCATCATGTGATTATGGTACTTAAATCAGCAGTAGACTTAAATTAATTTGAGGGCCTTAGATACAAATCTCCGTATCTTTCTGTGTTTGGATTTCTTTGAAATGTAATTTTAACTTTACATGTGCTGGTTTCATAATTTTTAATATTAACGTGTCAGCATCCTGAAGATAAATAAGGTGGGCTTAAGAGTACATATCAGTAATTAGTTTAATATTAGTGTTGTCACTTGATGAAACCTACATAGCGTAGAACCTACATAGCAATTTTTGTTAAAATTGCCATCTTTCATTTGTCATGGTCAGTTGTTGTAGTTGTTCATAGCATTTATTTGTTCCTGAAGTTTCGCTCAGAGCAGACTTTTACTTGGTTGTTCTTTACTGAAAACTTGAATAAAAAGGTGCTAGGTTATTTTATAAATTGTAAATGTAGAAGTAGAGAGGCATTGGAGGGCACGAGTACTTTATTTGGGGTTTG